GGAGTGGAAACCGACAAGGTTTCTCAAGCTAGGCGGTAGCCCTTTGTGCCGTTTGTCGATGTAGCCGAGAGCGTGGGTGGTGTAGCCGTGGTCGAGGTAGCCGTGCGAAGAACGCCGTGGTCGATGTTGATTCGGGGTGGCCGGTGTCGAGGAAGTCGTCGTGGGGCCCCAGGCGCAAGGAGGCGTCGAGTTAGTCATGGGCGCAGTGGTGTCGAAGTAGTGGTGCGCCGGGAAGAAGACGTTGTTGATGACGCGCCGCGGCGGGTTTGCCAAGCACGGGGACACATTGTGGACGAAGGCACGCATCGGTGTTGCCAGCACTGAGCATGCGTAGATGGACGAAGACGAAGTTGATAAAGTGACGACTAGGCTTGCCAGGCCCGAGGACACATCATGGATGAAGGCACGCATCAGTGTTGCCAGCACCTGTCATGCGTAGACGAGGGACTTGCACGAGCTCCACGCCATGTCGAGGAGTCAGAGGGCCAGCAGAGAAGAAGACCCAACGAAGTGGTCGGGGAAGATGACGACGACGATGGCGTTGGGTTGGTGCTGGATGGAAACGAAGGGGGTGAACGGGCGGCGACGGCGGCTATGGGGGCAGCGGCAACGGCGGCCGAAGTAGAGCGGCGGCGGCGGTGGCGGCTAGGTTAGGAGCGCGGCGGTGATGATCGAAGTAGGTGAAGATCCCAACAGCATGACGAAGACCGGCGCGGACGGTGGCGTTCCTGCCCCGAGGGACACTGCGCGACGCATACCACGGAAGGTCGATGCCCGGTGACGGCGGAGGGGACCGCGGGCTGCGGCGCCACGACCCGAAGGGGCGACTCGGCGGGAGCAGGCGGGTCGGGGCAACGGCAAGAACACCTCGGGGCGGCAGCGGGGACCCTGGGCCACGATGCTATAGCCCGAAGGGGCGGCGCATCGGCGGAGAGCGGGCCAGTAACCACGGGGACGACCTCGGGGCAGCGGCAGGGACCGCGTATCGCGGTAATACGGCCCAAAGGGGCGACGCAGCGGCGACGCATGAGTTGATGCAGCCGCGAGGAAAACCACGGTGCGGCAGTGCTCCGGCTAGACGGGGCGAGGCAGCGGCAGCCCGTTGCTCGATGGATGGAGGGGTGCACTGAACTCGGGGACGATATATTTAGAACATGTACATATCTTTTACTCCTTCTGTTCCCAAATATAAGTCAGTTTAGGTATTTCAACAAGTGACCACATACGGAGCAAAATGAGTGAATCTACACTTTGAAATATGTCTATATACATTTGTATGTTGTAGTCATTTGAAATGTCTAAAAAGACTTATATTTAGGAACAGAGGGAGTAGTATTTGAGATGCTTTTTATAGGCCCGTCTCGGTCATCCAGACGTGCAACGTGTTAGTCAGACTTGGTCACGTCACTCACCATATAAGATGTGCATTCCTCAACTACAAACTTGTCTTATTATAGCTTAATTACGTCAACTTGATCTCATGGAACTTTCTCGTCTCACTTTAACGTGTTCACACCAAGGGAAGGCCAGTATTAGTTGATAGCATGGCTGTAACTAACAGAGAGCGCAGGATTGTGGTGACTGGCAGACAGGAGAAGCTATAGTGGCAAAAGATGGTTGGAATCAAGGCAGAACATGAAACTATTCGCAAAAAAAAGGAGAGCATGGAACTGAATGCTAGAAGCAAACAAAAGACATGATGAGATCAGACAAACTAGAGAAAGATGTACTCCATATGAAAAACAACATCTCCATTTATGAAGCAATAATAAGGGATGATAGGGCCAAACATATCGAGAAAGATGGCCTTCGTATGAAAAAATGACATTTCCAGGTCTAAGCACCACATTGTTTGTGTTGTGTCTCATGTGGGACTGACATAACACTACCATACAACATGATCCGGTCACTTCAATCAAAACACATCCTCTCAGTGAACAACTACAAATGCATCGTCCCGGTAACCATGCATTTTCATTCTTAAGACATGTCAATTTCATATTCTCCTCCCACTTCTCATCCTCTTCCTTCCACTTCAGATCCATAGTTATCGTCACCACCATATGTTCTCCCCACGATCACAAATATGCGTTCACTCCCCCTTTGTCTCATCATGATTCTTCACAACAATTGATGTCACAGCAGTACGACATTTGTTGTCTATTAATTACCACCTATCTACACACCTTCCCATTGTCGATGCATATCCAAACATGGTCCATGCCCTCTGCCCTCCCCCCAAGAAAAAACATTTTTTTGCAACCCTCTAAGGTTCATTGGAGATCCCATCATTTTATGTCTCCAAACAAGCTTGGAGGTTGCTCTGGGTCGATCGCAGGACACTGATTTGCTAGTCACGTATCCCTTGTGCCTCTGTCTGGATTTACATGTGAGTGAGGCCCCACTCCCCGTGTTTCCCAAGATGAAGACAAGTAGCTACACCGTGACAAGTGCTTCCGTGCATGAAGACAATGTGCAAGTCGTCTGCGCTGGTGAATCTGTTGTGTTAGTAAATCTTTATTTATTCAGGGTCCGTATTATATTTGTCCTGTAATAACGTTTGTTATTCAGTCCAGTTGTTGGATCCTTCAGGGCCCATTCCTATGTTGGAAAACCCCAAGCCACCAGATTGAGCTCCTACTACAATGTCATGCTCTACCATGTGGCATTACCAAAACAAGTTAGGTTATATCTACATTCGGAGGTCGTATGGAAGAAAAAAAAATCTATCCAGCAAGTGGTAGCTTGATTTTTCTTCGAAACCTTCATTTCTAAATGGAGCTTCTTCAAGATCAATCGAAACCACCCATTCCTCACCATATTGCCATGCATTTTCTTAATTAAATATCGCCATGTTTATACTTTATACAGAAATCAATAGATATATTCCCATATGGTAAAAATAAATTAATACCTTGTTATAAAAAAATTAATACCTGCCAGCGCAGAAAATTATACAGTAATGTTTCCCTTCATATATTTTTTTTTGCATGGAGTTTTCCTTTCATACTACTCATTTAGAGGTAGTGCATTAAGGCGTATATAATCACCAGCCAAACTGTCAAGAAAGGGCTGTATTAATACATACGGGACTCGTATGCACCTAGTGGGATCGATTACTGTCCTCCACATAGCAAATCGACCAAGATATCGTGAGTAGAAACAATGGAGTGCCACGGTACTGTTAGTTTAGTCGTTCTCGTGCTCGTACTGCTGCTCCGGTGGCCGGCGTTGAGCTCTGCGTCGGTGCCGGTGTCGAGGACCATCACCGTGGACAGTAAAGGGGGAGGAGATTTCAGGAGCATTCAGTCGGCGGTGAACCTCGTCCCGGACGGCAACCGCGAGTGGATCAGGATCCACGTCCGGGCAGGGGGCTACAGGTTCGTCCTGTTACACAGTTCGGTATTGCTTCAAGATGTGGTAAGCAAGTATGGTTATGATGGTATACGTGGTGCATGCAGGGAGAAGGTGACCATCAATGCTGGAAGGGGACAGCCCCTCGAACACAGTCATCTTCTTCGATGACTACGTCCATGGCAGCACCGACGACCTGATGCGCCGCGGCGCCAATGCGATGGGGACGTACGAGACCGCCACCTTCAGAGTCTACGCCAACGACTTCGTTGCCCGGGACATCGCCTTCACCAACACGCACAACGGCATCAACAAGAGCAATGCCACCCAGGCGCTCGCGGCGCTGGTCGACGGTGACCGGATCGCCTTCCACCGCTGCGCCTTCAACGGCTTTCAGGACACGCTCTGCGACAACACCGGACGGCACTACTTCCGTGAATGCTTCATCAAGGGCGGCGTCGACTTCATCTTCGGCTACGCTCGGTCCATCTACGACGGCTGCACCCTCGTGTCCAACATACCCTTGCGGTCCGGCCGCCGTGCTGGGTGGGTGACGGCGCACGCCAGGCGCCGCGCCGGTGACCCCGGCGGTTTTGTGTTCAAGGGCGGGGAGCTCCGAGGTACCGGGCGCCAGTATCTCGGACGCGCGTGGAACAAATATGCCACGGTCGTCTACTACCACATGAACATGTCCAGCGTCGTCGTCCCGAAGGGGTGGGCTCCGTGGTACGCCGGCAACGATACTAACGATGTCCTGTTCGCAGAGGTTGGGTGCACCGGCCCCGGGTCAGACATGGCCGGGAGAGTGCCATGGGAGAAGCATCTCAGCGAGGCAGAGGTGAAGAAGTTCGTGGACATGAGCTTCATCGATGATGGTTGGCTAAGCAAGCAGCCATAGCCGGGGATCGATCGGATCACGAGTAGCTGGATGCACACATATGGCATAGGAAATAGCAGGATGAATTGCGAGCTTACACTCATTTCACCTTGCGCGCGTCTAGAGAGGGAGGGGCCAGGCCTTCTTTTTTTTCACTGGAAAAATGACTTTATTTCTCAAACAATAAGGTGGGAAATAAAATCCAGGATTGAACTATCCCAAACTTTAGAAGATCTAGTACTATGGGAAAATTTTGCAATGCTATCCGCGCTACTCCACTACCATCACAAGAACATTTTATAACTTCAACAAGTTGAGCACCAGCTCTTTGCATTCCAAAACCACAGCCACTTCCGCTACAAAATACTCTTCCTGATTTAGTGCATCGGCAGCACCAAACTATCAGATTCGATGATTAGTGAGCTGCACCAAATCTTTGCTGCCATGTAGTAGCCATTGGGAATAGCCATTATTTCCGCCATATCCACAGAAGGGCCATGCGGTATAAAGCATGAGGCTGCCACGACAAACTCGCCATGGTCATCGCGAGCTACTGAACCTGTACCTCACGTCATATTTTCCGCACAAAAGGATGCATCCGCATTGAATTTAACTATTCCTCACTTTGGTATTTGCCACATGTGATCACGTGTCATCACTGGTCGGTTATGAGTCGCAGCACGGACAAAGTTCGTTGCAGCACGGATTGTTTCGCCTTTGAAAAATTGTCATCGCTACAAACAGATAAACCAGCTACCAACTGCAATAAGTTCGGCCATTGGTAGCTCACTTATACAGTTCTGTCGAATCATAAGAGCGTCCAATTTGACTGAACCTGAGCGCTGCTCTTTGGATCTCTTCTTTCAGACCAAGTTCAACCCAAACCTCCAATGCTCGACTGCAGGTAAATAGGCAATGTTGGATATCTTCGAACTCTATGTGCCAGATCAGGCATTGACCCGACACAGGAACGTGCCTTCCAACTAAGGTACCAAAGTATGGCAGCACTCCCCTCAGAACTTTTCATATAAAGTGTTTTACTTTTCCCGGAATGCGGAAAGCCCAAACATACTTCCAAGTGTCATGTACTTGGCTTCCCTTCCCATTGGTTCGGTTCCAGTGATGCTCAAATTGATGTTCAAATTCCTCATGATATGCTGACCTTACCGAGATGTGCCTGAGCGGTTGTAATGCCATGCTATGAAGTCTTCGACCACTTCCACTCGCAATGGAAATTGGAGGATTCTATGGACATCTACAGGAGAGAAAACGGACCGTAACATGCCCTCATCCCATTGCTAGTGTGCGGATCAACCAGCTCTTCAACTTTAGAAGATCTACTACTATGGAAATTTTTTGCAATGCTATCCGCTACTCCATTACCTTCACGAGAACATTTTATAACTTCAAACACGGACAAGTTGAGCACAGGTTCTTTGCATTCCAAAACCACAGCCACTTCCGCTACAAAATACTCTTCCTGATTTAGTGCATCGACAGCAACCAAACTATCAGATTCGATGATTAGTGAGCTGCACCCAATCTTCGCTGCCATGTAGTAGCCATTGCGAATAGCCATTATTTCCGCCATATCCACAGAAGGGACATGCGGTATAAAGCATGAGGCTGCCACAACAAACTCGCCATGGTCATCGCGAGCTACTGGACCTGTACCTCCTGTCATATTTTCCGCACAAAAGGATGCATCCACATTGATTTTAACTATTCCTCTCTTTGATTTTTGCCACACCTGATCACATTTCATCACTGGTCGGTTAGGAGTTTGCAGCACAGACAAAGTTTGTTGCTAGAACTATGATGGACATTGCGGTTCGACCTGGTCGACGGATTGTTTCGCCTTTGAAAAATTGTCGTCGCTCCCGCCAGATAAAGCAGCTACCAACTGCAATAAGTTCGGCTGTTGGTATTCTCACTTATACAGTTTTATCATCTCATAAGAGTGTCCAATTTGACTGAACCTGAGCGGTCTTCTACCATTGCTTTTTGGATCTCTTCTTTCAGACCAAGTTTAACCCAAACCTCCAATGCTCGACTGCTGGTAAGTAGGAAATGGGATATCTTCAAACCCTATGTAGCAGATCGGGCATTGACCCGACAGGGAACGTGCCTTCCAACTAAGGAACCAAAGCATCGCAACACTCCCCTCAGAACTTTCCATATAAAGTGTTCTACTATTCCCGAAATGCGCAAAGCCCAAACATACTTACAACTGTCTTGTACTTGACTTCCCTACCCATTGGTTCGGTTCCAGTGATGCCCAAATTGATGTTCAAATTCCACATGATATACTGACCTTATCGAGAATGTGCCTGAACGGTTGTAATGCCATGCTACGAAGTCTTCGACCAGTTCCACTCGCGATGTAATTTGGAGGATTCTATGGACACCTACTGGAGAGAAAACAGACTGTAACAGGCCCTCATCCCATTGCCAGTGTTCAGATTAATCAGCTCTTCAACTTTTCTTAATGTCGTTGTTCCTGGTGGAATGACTTTCCGAGATTCACTCAATGGAACCTGGGGATCATGCGAAATATTTATTTGCGCGCCTGATCCCACACGCCACATACACCCTTGTTTGAACTTTTGTATTCCTGCTACAATGCTTTGCCATGTAAAAGAAGATCCTTTTTCTGGCCAACACTTAGCATATTCCCATCCGAATAGTATTTTGCACTTAGAACCCGTGCACACAAAGATTCTGGTTTTTGAAGTAGTCGCCAACATTGTTTTGTTTATTCGAAAATATATACCATAGCTTCTGTATCCCGTAGGAAATGTACAAAGTTAATTGTCTTTGTACGTTTTCCTAAATATAGACACAAGAAAAAATGACTAATACTGCTACTATTCCACCAAACAATGAAACGTCATCGAAATTCAGATGTGACTAGTGGCAGTTTTGCTTTTGCATCATTCTCACACTATTTATGCTAAATTTGTCTTTTTTTAATTTCTTTATGTGTGTCTTGAATTTGGAATGTGGAACCCAGTCTTTGGAGGTTGAATGGAAATAAAATGGTTGAGTGCCTGGCTTGATGCAGAGGCACCCTTGCCGAACAAAAAAATGTTGTAGCTCGATTATTTTTCTTTTGAAACCTTCCCTTGAAATGGAGCTGCTTCATGATAAATCGAAACCACCCATTCCTCACCATATTGCCATGCTTTTTATTAATGAAATTTCGTCATATCTAATACATTAATCAATACATGCCAGCGCAAAATACATTAATCACCATATTCCCATATATCGTAAAAACTAACACCTGCCAGCGCAAAAACTTATGTGGTATAAACGTCAGTTTCCCTTCATATTACACATATGGAGGTAGTACATTAAGACGTATAATCACTTGTGGAATGGTCAGAAAGGGGTTGTATTGTATTATTACGGGACTCGTATGGGTGGATCGATTCGTGTCTTCCACATAGCGAAGTGACCAAGATACCTGCGTATGAAAAATGGAGTGCCACCGTGCTGTCAGTTTAGTCGTGCTCGTGCTGCTGCTCCGGTGGCCGGCGTTGAGCTCTGTGGGGGCGTCGGTGTCGAGGACCATCACCGTGGACAGTAAAGGGGGAGGGGATTTCAGGAGTGTTCAGTCGGCGGTGAACTTCGTGCCGGACGGCAATCGCGAGTGGGTCAGGATCCACGTCCGCGCAGGGAGCTACAGGTTCGTCCTTTGCATTCGAGTATTTTTCTTTTACTCCTTTCAAAGTCTGTTTATGATGGTACACGTGATGCATGCAGGGAGAATGTGACCATCCCAAGCGAGAAAGGCTTCATCTTGCTCGAAGGGGACGGCGGAAAATGGACATCAGCTTCGGCAACTACGCCCACGGCAGCATCGACGACCTGATGCCCCGCGGCGGCATCATCGTCACCGACGCGATGGGGTTATATGAGAGCGCCACCTTAAGAGTTCACGCCGACGACTTCGTTGTCCGGCACATCACCTTCAGGAACACGCACAACGCCGTCGACAAGAGCAACATGACCCAGGCGCTCGCGGCGCTGGTCAAGGGTGACCGGATCGCCTTCTATGGCTGCGCGTTCACTGGCTTCCGGGATACTCTCTGTGACAAGACCGGCTGGGTCGATTTCATCTTTGATTACGCCCGGTCCATCTACGATGGCTGCACCGTCGTGTCCAACATGCCCCTATACAGCCAGCAGCCCGGGTGGGTGACGGCGCATGCGGGTCCACCACGGCGACCCTGGCGGTTTTGTGTTCAAAGGGCGGCCAGGTCCGAGGAACCGGAAGCCAGTATCTCGGACGCGCGTGGAACCAGTACGCCACAGTCGTCTACTACCACGTGAACATGTCCAGCATCATCGTCCCGCAAGGGTGGTTTACGTGGAACCTTACCAACGAAACTGACGACTTCTTTTTCGCGCAGGTTGGGTCCACCGGGCCCGGGTCAGACATGGTCCGGAGAGTGCCGTGGGAGAAGCATCTGAGTGACGCGGAGGTAAAGAAGTTCATGGACATGAGCTTCATCGACGACGGTTGGCTAATCCAGCAGCCATCATAGGGATCGATCGGATCACGAGTAGCTGCACACATATGGTAAAAGAAAAATGCTAGACCTACGAAATGATTTGTACGTATATGAAAGGGCAGGATGATTTCCTTAGCATGGCGGCAACACCGATGAGTTTTATTTTTGGACAGGTCTACGTAGCGGCCGGCTGCTCGCTGGCCTTCGCGAGCGGCCGGTAATTTATAGAAAGTGTTTTGTCCACTTGTGCTGATTAGGAAAGATTCATTTGATTTTAACTAGTGAACAAGAAATAGCCAACGAACATGCGTATTGAATGATCCACATGCATCCGCTGCGCCTTCTTTTACTGCATGGGCATGGATGACTTTCTACCATTTAATTTATGATTTATAAAATTTAAAAAATCATAACTTTCAAACCGTGCATCGAAATTAAGATCCGTTTTCACTGTTGGAATCCTCGCGACGTGCTCTTCGAAACTAGATCCCGCATGGGTAT